CTACACCTCCCCCTACCCTAAACCCAACCGTCACAGTAGCATGGGTGCTACCTTAGTGGGTGGTACAAAGTCCACTATGTAGTTGACGATCGCCTACACTTGTCCCTACCCCAAACCCAACTGTCACAGTAGCATGGGCGCTACCTTAATGGGCAGTACAAGGTTCCATAAGTAGTTGACAATTGTCTACACCTACCCCTGTTCTAAACCCAACCATCACTGTAACATGGGTGCTACCTTAGTGGGTGGTACAAGGTCCACTACGTAGTTGACGATCGCCTACACTTGCCTCTAACTTAAACCCAACTATCACAGTAGCATGTGCGTTACCTTAGTGGGCAGTACAAGGTCCACAACATAGTTGACGATCACCTACGTCATAAAGCTGCGGGCTGCAGCGAGGACATCTTATGCGAACCCGTTGGAGCGAGTGTTTACAACTTTTGAGTCCTGTGAAGTAGCTCTAGATGGAAACTGTTGTTTTGTGTTTACCTTATGATTAATATTTTTGCACGTCCACCGATTCCCACCTCTAAATGAACTAATTTTAGCAACTTGCAACATTAAGGTTGCATACAAAAAAAAAAAAAAAACACCCGCGAAGAAACACGACACAGAAGAACATAAGACCCCCACTGCCAGCTAGCGTTTCGAAGAGTTATAGCAAATCAACACAAATAGAAGTATAAATGCACATCTACGCACAAGGCAGGCTTCATGGGTGATGCAGATTACTCGATGCAGAAGTATAAATTAGCCTTAAGCAAAGCTGTGATTGTCATGCACTTCTTATCAGAGAAGCACATGAATAAGTGATTAGTATTACATTTCTTCCAAAGGCCAGAGGGTGCTCTTACAGAAACGTCAAGTGCCAATAAAGAATACCAGGAAATCCCTATAGCAGTTTTTAAATAAACAGAAGATTTACCTGTTTTCTCTGATTCAGCAAGACAAATAAACGTACAAGTATGGAATCGTCTCACATAAGGATTTATTTCAAAGACTTGACTGAAGTAATAAGTTGAAGTAAACCATGTTTTTATATTTTAATTTCACCAGCAGCATTTACTACTTAGAGTCCATTAAAAAGCAGATAGCTAAGCAGGTAAGTGTCTAAGAAAACAGCTATCATTACCACAAAATGATTATTTTAATGTCATTTGAAACTTAAATTTAATTTCAATAGCTTATCAGTGATATACGACTCCAACTGTCTGCTCCATCTAAACGCATGTGCTGGATGTTTAACTAGAACTGCCTTTACTTACAAAACCATCTTCTAATAAGCCCTACTTCAAATATTTACACAGTAAGAAGCCTTAAAAAGACACGCAACTGAAACATTTCTGTTATTTAATGGTTAACGTTTGCAATTAATCAACAAATCACATCCATTCTGATCTGTGGTGCTGGTCAATAATCCCTGCATTCTGCCAGTCCAATCAGAATTGGCTATGCAATAAAACCAAAAAACAAGACATCATGAAATGGACATGATGGAAAGGAAAGGTTTGAAAATACAGGGAATACTGCAGTGAATCATCATTATCTGAGGGAAAGCTTTTTTTTTACATGAAAGACCTATTTTCTCTTTGCGGGGGTGTACCAAACACTCGCTGCAGTCAAAAACATACATGAACTCAGAAATGACATGAGAGCAACCGTTATATCACCCATAAAGGAGAACGGCAAGGTCATTCCATTGTGGTGCTGAGAGACCAAACAAAAATGCTTGATAACAAAAATTATCAAAGACTCCAATCACCCCGATATTCATTGTTCACCTATACTGCCATCTGTTAAACACGTCTTTAGTCTAACGGCCAAAACTGAGAGAATCAGGAAAAGCTTCTTCCCTCAGACCACTGGGTGGGCTCATGAATTCAGCCTCTCAACATCTACAGGACTTCATTAATATACACTCACCCACACCTGCACTTGACACTGTCACCGCACACAGCACTGCTACTGTATGTAACAACCTGCACTGGTGTTCTTTACTTCAAATTCCTCTCTGTACATACCTCAAAATAAACCTCAGCTTACATTGCTCTGTCATTTATTTCTTTATTGGGTTTTCTTTTTAAGATTATCGTTTAATGTGCTGCTATTCACAGGCTCCTTATTTAAATGTACAATATGTCAGTTTTTTGTATTAAAATATACAAAAGGCACTAGAACAGTGGTATTTATACCTACCGGCCACTTTATTAGGTACACCTTACTAGTACTGGATTGGACCCCTCTTGCCTTCAGAACTGCCTTAATCCTTTGTAGTATAAATTCAACAAGGTACTGGAAATAATGCTCAGAGATTTTGTTCCTTATTGACATGGTAGCATCACAGAGTTGCTGCAGATTTGTCAGCTGCACATTCAGGATGTGAATCTCCCATTTCACCAGATCCCACAGACGCTCTATTTGAATGAGATCTGGTGAATGTGGAGGACATTTGACTACAGTGAGCTCATTGTCATGTTCAAGAAACCTGTCTGAGATGATTTGTGCATTATGACATGGGGTGTTATCCTGCTGGAAGTAGCCATCAGAAGACGGGTACACAGTGATAAAGGGATGGACATGATCAATACTCAGATAGGCTGTGGCATTGATATGATACTCAAATGGTACTAATGGGCCCAAAGTGTGTCAAGAAAATATCCCCCACACCATTACACCACCACCACTACCAGCCTGAACTATGGATACAAGGCAGGATAGATCCATGCTTTCATGATGCTGATGCCAAATTCTGACCCAACCATCCGAATTTTGCAGCAGAAATCAAGACTTATTAGACCAGGACTTGTTGTGCGTTCAGAGATGCTCTTCTGTATACCTCAGTTGTAACGAATGGTTATTTGAGTTACTGTTGTCTTTCTATCATATTCTGGCAATTCTCTTCTAATGTATGGCATCAAAAAGGCATTTGCCCCACAGAATTGTTGCTCACTGCTCACTGGACATTTTCTCTATTTCGGACCATTCACTGTAAACCCTAGAGATGGTTGTGCATGAAAATCCCAGAAGATCAGCAGTTTCTGAAATACTCAGAGCAGCCTGTCTGGCACCAACGGCCATTCCACATTCAACTTCACTTAAATCACCTTTCTTCCTCATTCTGATGCACCATTTGAGCTGCTGCAGACCGTCTTGACCATGTCTACATGCCTAAATGCACTGAGTTGCTGCCATGTGATTGGATGATTAGGAATTTGCATTAACGAACAGTTGGACAGATGTACCTAATAAAGTGGCCAATGAGTGTATTTGTGCTGACCTATGTGCTTATAGTATCCCAAATATTTCGAAGAATGTTCAAATCCAGAGAAAAAAAAAAAACATTTTAACCAGTGACACTGACTATGCCCTGTTCATTCTAATGACATCACACATCCGCGATATCCGGTTTGGTTTTATAGAAAACAGAAAAACACCAAAGATGCTTTAATAAGCTGTGTGTGTTTTTTTTGTGTGTTTTCTATTAAAATGACAACTCCTATGACTCCTGTTTTGAACACACGCCATCTAGTGGTGACAATAACATGATATACCTTTAACTGTATGAAGTTTTTCCAAATGCAGCTCCTCTGTGGATTGAATCTGACTTACAATTAACTGTTGTTTTTATATATAATTTGACATTTTGAATCTTTTATCATTGCTGTGCTGTTATTTTTTCCACATCATATTGATGCCACAATTAATCAATGTTTATATTGTTATATCAAGCACAGACATTAAAACAAATTATAACTGTTTTGGCCAATTTATTGAAATTAACACTTTCAATCATTTCTAAATATGCCAAAATGCAACAGACGGCTCCAAACGGAACATAGGCTAAGAAAACAAAAATCAAGAAAGTATCAAACAAATGGCCCAGAGAGACCTTGCATCACATCACAGCTCATAAACACCTTTAAGATTCATTACGTTAAGCATTATATTTCCCTGTGGGTGCTGACAGAGGTGATACATTTGCCTATAGCACCCCTGCACTGAGTCTCTCTCACAGGGACGTGCTTCATCATAACGAAACAACAAAATAAAATGAAACCACAAATGTTTCTGACATAAATACACTATATGAAACCAAAATGTCATTGTTCTTAGTTTTAAAACTTCTATCTATCTATATATCTATCTATCTATCTATCTATGGAAGATTTCTAAAGTAAATTTTAAAAAATCTCTAACTGATTTCTTTTGTTTCCTGCCTCTAAAACAATGAACAGCATGAACATTCTGCAATATATCCCCCGCTATTCACAGAAGTCAAAGAGCTTTAGAACAAAATGAAAACGATATCAGTATGTTTCCATTAAATTATCCTATATTATTTTGACTTTTTTCACAGATAATAATGTTATGTAATATCGGAAATTCATTCATTCCTCCATTTCACTCAGTGACATATTCTTACAATTTAACTTCACAGGATGTCACCAATCACTCACTTAAACCATAAACGACTCCTATCCTTATAAAGCACTTAAAACTGGAGTAAAAAAAAAATCTAATTCTATCGCATTGCTCCAAAATACGGATGGAAAGCTCCTCAAAATGAACCATAATGGCTTCAGTATAATTGGTGTCACAAAAATCAGATCCCCACTTATAAAATCACCGCATTAATTTGCGCAGCTTGAGAACTAAATGAATTGCAAACATTCAATTATCCACAGCCTGTAGATCCGTGTTTTGGAGCGGCTTCTCCGCACCTCCTCCCATAGAGCACAACAGCATTCCGATGTAGAACCCTGGACAGCTCCTCGAAAAGTCATGCGTGTCCAAAACCAAAGCACAGCACACAAAACAGCCGGGAAATGTAATATTCAACTGCTCCTAGTGAGACTTTGGTTAAACGCAACTAAGTGCTTAATCAAACACCGATTAGAAAATAATCAATAATAAAAGCAGGTCACAAAAACGCGCGTCCGTTCCAGAAAACAAATATATTGTGTGATGCTATTACAACAGCGTAAAACATGACTCACCCTTCTCAAAACTGGCATTTCTCAAAACTTCCAGCTCTGCCATTATAATTGATAACAGGTAAACACCGCATTAAGACCGAATCCCTTTCGGTACGACGATCGGAGAGCAAGACATGCGCTTCGGAATGCAGGTGTCACTGGACTACCCAGTTAAATTTGTATCTGTTATTACATAGTCATATATTCAAGTAGATTTCAGCAATAGTTCTTGACTATATAATTTAAATGGATCATTTAAAGAAATCCATTTGATTGATGATCGATGCGCGCGGAACGGAGTTTTCAGTCTCCGATCAGTGCGGCGCGCGCGCTCCGTTTCTCTCACTCTCTGTCGTTCCGCCTGATTCTCAGTCACACTGATCATTGGGTATCTGCACATATTTGCTCGTGGGAGGCAGAGGGGCATATGAGGGGAGGTGTGTGTTATGAAAGCGATTAAGGGGTCAACCAAGTCTTCCTGGTATGTCTTGATTTTGAATAAAACTTAAAGCCTGCTTGAAAAGTTGTAGTGCACCTGAGGCTCTGAAGAGACTGATTTAAAAACCATTATTCCCTTTGTCTTGTACCAAACCCGCTTTGTTTCTGTTTTGTGGATGTCTTAGTTCACTTTCAACTCCAAACAATGAAAGTGAACAGTGTCTGGACTCTGATTCTGTGCAACATCTCAGAATAAAGATGCTTTGAAAAGCAGGAAGGAAAATTTACACATTTTGTATACATATATATTTAACATTCATCAGTAAAAATAAACAAATAAACAAATAAACAAATAATAATAATAATAATAATAATAATAATAATAATAATAATAATAATAATAATAATAACAATAATAATAATAATAATAATGCATTGGTTTGCTAAAACAACTTTAATCAGGGGGAATTCAAATATAGGCCAAATTAGGTCACTGGTTTATAAAACATGTTCCAGTTTACAAATATTTGAGAACAAAACAACATCTGATTTGGTTTTGACTCACGTTTCTGCAATAATAAATGAACTTTGTGATCACATCATTACAGATGAACACGCATTGGTGCACGCTTCAGAGCTATTGGAGTTAAACGGAAGGTTTCTAAAAGATTAATATGTCATAATGTATTTCTCATTAATCTGCCAATGTTGGGCTGCTACAGGAGGAGGGAATAGAATGTGAGACACGTGAAGTGCAAACAGATTTTCAGTTATGGATTACTTTACACCCCAGACACACAATGGCCTACATTACACTTTTACCACAATTAAAAATAAATGAAAAAACAAAGGCATCGCAGTGGCGCAGTGGGTAGCACGTTCGCCTCACAGCAAGAATGTCGCTGGTTCGAGCCTCAGCTTGGTCAGTTGGCATTTCTGTGTGGAGTGCATGTTCTCCCTGTGTTCATGTGGTTTTCCCCTACAAGTCCAAAGACATGTTGTGTGTGTGAATTGGGTATGCTAAAATTGGCCGTAGTGTATGAGTGTGTGAATGAGAGTATGTGTTTCCCAGTGATGGGTTGTGGCTGGAAGGGCATCTGCTGCGTAAAAACATATTCTGGATGAGTTGGCTATACATTCCGCAGTGGTGACCCCAAAGGGACTAAGCCGAAAAGAATATGAATAAATGTATGAATGAATGAATGAATGAATGAATGAATAAATAAATAAATAAATAAATAAAATAGCATTGCTTTTCACTTTGGTAAAAATGGCAAAATCATTTAACTAAGTAAAAGTGTGTCCATTGCTGAATGGAAATGAGCACTGTGAACATTCTGCTTCACTTTTTTATTTGTGTTCCACATAAATGGGAGTTGAAGAGGTTTATCACAACATAAAGTTGTAAATAAATTGCCAACTGCCTTTTGTCATTTTGAATCAAAATCAGATAAAAATAGCTTGTAATCTGGATTGGCATTCCTTTTCTGAACAATTTGAGGTCTTGGCCAATATATCCTTAAATGCTTTTCTTGTTTTTCCAAACAATTTCAGTTTTTTCCTTTTTGTGTTCAGGTGTAAATCATGTGAGCTCATTTCACAATTTTAGATCGAAAGATCAGAAAAGGCATGTATACAAAAACTCACCGGTCACTTTTTTGGGTACACCTTACTAGAACCCGGATGGACCCCCTTTTGCCTTCAGAACTGCCTTAATCCTTCGTAACATAGATTCAACAAGGTACTGGAAGTATTCCACCAAGATTTTGTTCCATATTGACATGATAGCATCACGCAGTTGCTGCAGATTTGTCGGCTGCACATCCATGATGTGAATCTCCCATTCCACCACATGGACAGCAACATCTGGTTGCTGTTTTTGTTTAATCTAATCGTGGTCTTAGAAGCAACTTAATAGAGAAGACATAAACCAAAATACAGATGCATTGTTCCAGCCGCAAATGTCTTCTACTTTCACTTTCTACCGTGCGAGAGTTTTGAATTGTGTTTGAACAGCATCTCTCCACTATGAACTGAAGTTTAAAAACATCAAACAGCTAAAGAAAAATAGATAAAGTTGTTGTTCAGAAGCAAATCTTCTTAATTGGATAGTTTACCCCAAAATAAAAATAACCTATACATTTATTGTTCCTCATGTGGTTTAAAACCTTTATGTGTTTCTTTCTTCTGTTGAAGACAAAAAAAAAACTTTTTTTGAACAACGCTGGTTTTATGGCACCCGTCATTCTATAGTTTTTGTTTTCTTTTTTAGTTACTATGGAATTCAATAGGTGCCAGCTACCAGCATTTTTTCTGTTCAACAGAAAGAAAAGAAACTCAAAGAGGTTTTGAACAAGAGAAAGGTATGGTAATAAATGATGACATTATTTTTATTTTTGGGGTGAACTATCCCTTTATCATGTTTTTTTTTTTTCTTTTGGGATTTTCTGTGCTGTGATTGTTTCTAACATTTACAGAATGCAATACATTTCTTGACTATTTATAGGTGCCGAGTGAAAACTTACAAAAGGGTCAATTATTATGTAAATATATTCATTATATGTTATATAATAACAGCTAAAACTAGCATTTATTTTTCTAATTTATTATTTATTTATGAAGAGTTGAAAATAAAACATGGCATTTACATTTTGAAAACATTTACATGTTCATTTTCAATCATTAGAATTACAAATATGCACATATATGGTCAAATATACTATATATTTTATATAAAGAAAATCGGTCCCACTTTATATTAAGTGGCCTTAACTAATATGTACTTACACAGGAACTAATAGTTTGTTACAATATACTTATTGTGTAAATACATGTATTTACTGTGTACTTATGCTTGTATACATGTATGTAATTACATCTGTAATTAACTTTTGTAATTACATTTGTAAATACACTGTTGACCATCCCTTACACCTTAACCCACCCTTAAACCTACCCATACCACCAAACCTGTCCATAACTTTACCCCTATCCCAACTTAAAAGCACCACAAGTGTTCTCAAATACATTATAAACACAGCAAGTACATTGTATTTATTTTTTGATGTAAGTACATAGTAGTTAAGGACACTTAAAGTGGGACCAGAAAATCATATTTAGCCATATTTTTGATTTCTGTATGATACAATACATTCTCAATGCACCAAATTAGACAATCATTTCTTTGTCAAATAATCATTAGCAAAAATTGTTTTAATTTTGAAAGCTCTACATAACGTCTGATGAATTTTGTAATAAATGCCCATTAATCCCACTTGGGGAATAGAACAGGAAGATCTGTCATCATCTACAATTTCTGTTAAATATGCTCAGCGTGATGTACAGAGTTTAACATGCTCACTCAATGTTTCAATTGACGAGTGCTCCACTTTGAAGCCTCCATCACACTCATCCATCATACTGGATAGGTGACAGATGGAAATAAAGCCCTGTAAAATACAAGCAAGCTGATTCCTTGGAGGGCCTCATTTTCACGGCTAGTAAATAATCAGAATTTGCTCCTCAATGCCAGTTTGTGCAATGTGCCACAAAGCTTGAAGTGCAATAAATTCAAACAGAACATTGACTGTCACCAAAAGAGCTACCAAACTTTTAATAATAAATTGAAGTGAAACCAGACAGCTGTAGAGTGATAAAGATGATCTTGAAGCAAGCTGTAAAGTGGTTCAGAATGACTCTGATAAGATCAATATTGCTTGAGGAAACTGTTAAGTCAGGACAATGTTAGGCTTCCCTGTTTTATTCATGTGTGAGAAAATGTGTTTGAGGTCTGAACGCTATCAAATTAGGCTGGCAAGGCATTACCAGGAGAATCGAAGCACTATTCTATCATATAATCTATTCATGGGCTGTTTTTACTGAGCGGTACAATTTGGTACTGTTCCGTTCCTGATGGTATTTGTCTAGAGCCACAGTGAAATGTATAAAGGATTGTTGGGGTGACAGTGTCTCTGTCCGCTGCTTTCACAAAAACCCACCAATTCAATTAAAGTATTTATCAACAAAAATGTAGAATTATATTAAAAAACTGGGAAGCAAAATGGGCTTCATGATTGGAAAAGGCCAAAATAACAAACAAAAGTACACTCTAAATAGTTAGGGAGTAAAACTGTCTAAACTGACCAAGTAAAATTAAATGAACAACAGAAATGTACACTAACTCCCTAACTAAATATAAGAAAGTGAAAAAGGATTTTATAAATAAAAGGGTAGGGGTGGCTGACGTGAAACTGACATTTTGACAGTGTCGAGATCTCGAAGGAATTCAATAGGTGCCAGCTACCAGCATTTTTTCTGTTCAACAGAAAGAAAAGAAACTCAAAGAGGTTTTGAACAAGAGAAAGGTATGGTAATAAATGATGACATTATTTTTATTTTTGGGGTGAACTATCCCTTTATCATGTTTTTTTTTTTTCTTTTGGGATTTTCTGTGCTGTGATTGTTTCTAACATTTACAGAATGCAATACATTTCTTGACTATTTATAGGTGCCGAGTGAAAACTTACAAAAGGGTCAATTATTATGTAAATATATTCATTATATGTTATATAATAACAGCTAAAACTAGCATTTATTTTTCTAATTTATTATTTATTTATGAAGAGTTGAAAATAAAACATGGCATTTACATTTTGAAAACATTTACATGTTCATTTTCAATCATTAGAATTACAAATATGCACATATATGGTCAAATATACTATATATTTTATATAAAGAAAATCGGTCCCACTTTATATTAAGTGGCCTTAACTAATATGTACTTACACAGGAACTAATAGTTTGTTACAATATACTTATTGTGTAAATACATGTATTTACTGTGTACTTATGCTTGTATACATGTATGTAATTACATCTGTAATTAACTTTTGTAATTACATTTGTAAATACACTGTTGACCATCCCTTACACCTTAACCC